TCACCTTGTGATGTTATTGGTAGAACTGTGAAAAGACAAACTTCAATTTTTTAGCCTTGTGTCTAATGTTCTAGCTCATAGAACAACAGCTAACCATATACTTAATGCTTGTGCGATGTTTGATTTTTTCTCAAACAAAACTTTTAGAATCAGTTTTTACTACATATCTAAGGAGTTAAACAAAATAATCTGAAGTGCAATGAAGCAGAGATATGCAAATGCAAAACCTTTACCAGATACTTGTACCTATCACAATTTCACTCCTATAAGTAACACAAAAATCAGAACTAAAGTTGTTTCAAAACAACTAGAGTATTAATGTGTTTTTAATTCGTAATTTATTCGTAATTTAATTCGTAATTTAATTCGTAATTTATTTATATATATTTGTATTTTAAATCGTAAGAACTTACCCATTTGTCGGGAAACTTGGTTTGAATCCACAGACTACTCTTTTATGTGCTTTCGTTTAGCACCACTTCACTCTATCACCTTTCTCTTTGTTCTATATCGCTCTCCCTCATCCCAAGACTGCACTCTTCTTGATGTTATTTCTGATTATATTGACCAAGCCCTCATTTTTTATCCATCAGCCAATATTGTTGATGTCGGTGACTTTAATGTCCACCACACTGAATGGCTTGGCTCAAGTGTCAGTGACTCTGCAGGCATTAAGGCCCACAACTTTTGTCTTTCTCAACCCCCAAACTCAAATAGTCAACTTTCCAACTCGCTTTCCAAACAACCGGAATCATTTACCTTCTCTACTCGATTTATGTCTTGTTTCTGATCCTAGTCAGTGTTCAGTTTCTTCACACTCACCATTAGGTGCGTCTGATCATGGTTTGGTCTCTCTAAAACTATTATCTCATTCTTCTTTACCATTAGAATCCCCCTATTATCGTACATCTTACAACTACCTTAAAGCTGACTAGGACTCTTTTCGTGACTTTCTTCGTGATGGCCCCAGGGTAGAAATCTTTCGCCTCCCTGTTGACAAATGTGCTTCTTACATAACTTCACGGATTCAGGCTGGCATGGAATCCTTTATTCCAGGTCAAGCCTCACTCTTCTCCATGGTTTTCCTCACATTGTGCTGCTGCAATTGCCAATCGAAACCATTACTTCCATATCTATCAGCAAAACAATTCTCCAGAAAACAGACGTCTCTTTATTACTGCTAGGAACCATTGTAAAAAGTTTTTGTCTAATGCCAAAACCCGCTATTCTCAGATCATGAAATCTCGTATTTCTTCACAAAAATTAGGCTCTCGTGACTTCTGGAGAATCTTTAATAGTATCAATAATAAGGGCAAGTCTGTAATTCCACCTCTTTTGTACGGTTCAGACTTTGTCACCTCACCTAAAGACAAAGCTGAATTGTTTGCCAAGAACTTTTCATCAATATTATCTCTTGATGCTACTAGTTGCGTTTTACCTGATATACCCGTCAAACAGGTTGATCCATTGCTCGACATTCGTATCACTCCAGCTTCTGTATCTAAAGTGATTTCCTGCTTAGACTCTTCTACAGCTTGCGGCCCAGACAACATACCTGTTATAGTCTTGCAGAAGTGTTCTCCTGAGCTGTCGTCTATCTTTTCAAAACTATTCAACAAGTGCTTATCAGAGTCTTGTTTTCCAGCCTGCTGGAAAGCAGCATCTGTTATCCCTATTTTTAAAAATTCTGGAGAGCGATCTGACTCATCTAACTACCGTCCCATTAGTCTTCTTCCTATCATAAGCAAGGTTTTTAAATCTTTATTTAACAAACACTTAATCTCGAATCTCGAATCTCATAACCTACTTTCTGATCATCAGTATGAATTTCGATCTTCTCGTTCTACGGCTGATTTGCTATCAGTAATAACCGATAGGTTTTATCGCGCATTAGATAAAGGTGGAGAGGTTAAAGCCATTGCTCTTGACATTTCTAAAGTGTTTGATAAAGTTTGGCATGCTGGTCTCCTCCATAAGCTTTCTTCTTATGATGTAACTGGAAACATCTTTAAGATTATTGAATCCTTCCTTTCCAATCGTAGTATAAAAGTTGTCCTTGATGGACAGCACTCTTCTTCTTATCCTGTAACCTCAGGGGTTCCCCAAGGTTCAATCCTTGGCCCTATACTTTTTTTAATTTACATTAACGATCTTCCAGATATTCTCACATCTAAGGTGGCATTATTCGCTGATGATACTACCATTTATTCTTGTCACAATAAGAAGTCAACTCCCTCTGATTGCTTGCGGGGGGCATCTGAGCTCAAAAAGGATCTCACTTCTGCTACAGCATGGGGCTCGCAGTGGCTGGTGAACTTTAATTCAGATAAAACTCAATTTTTTTCAACCAATTGTTATTGCAATAATTTAGACTTTCCTATATTTATGAACGGTAATGTACTCAATGAGTCTCCTACCCTTCATCTTCTAGGATTAACTCTTACTTCTGATCTTTCTTGGAAACCTTATATCAAATCCGTTGCAAAATTAGCATCTGCTAAAGTTACTTCTCTTTATCGAGCTTGTCACTTTCTTACTCTGGATTCTATTCTCTATCTCTATAAATCTCAAATCCGGCCTTGTATGGAATACTGTTGCCATATCTGGGGCGGATCTTCTAATGATGCCCTTTCTCTTTTAGACAAGGTGCAAAAATGCATTGTAAACATAGTTGGACCTGCTCTTGCAGCCAACCTTCAACCTCTGTCACATCGTCGTAATGTTGCTTCTCTTTCTCTTTTCTACAAATACTATAATGGGCACTGCTCTAAAGAGCTAGCGTCTCTTGTGCCATCTACTAAAATTCATTCTCATGTTACTCGTCATTCAATTAAGTCTCATCCTTTTTCTGTTACTGTTCCTAAGTGCTCTAAAAACTCTTATTCGTCTAGTTTTTTTCCTCGAACATCAGTTCTTTGGAATTCGCTTCCTTCATCTTGCTTTCCTGATTTATATAATTTGCAATATTTTAAGTCGTCTGTCAATCGTTATCTTGCTCTACAATCTTCATCTTTTCTCTTCCAGTAACTTCCAACACTAATTAGTGGTTGCTTGCAACCTTGTTGGAAGCGAAGATAATTAAAAAAAAAAAATTTCCAAACTCATAAAATTATTAAGTAATGTTTGTTTGCAAATATGAGCTTTGTAATGTTTGTATGATTGATATATGATCAATCCATGGATTGGACTAGTTGAGAAGATTGATGTTAAAAATAAAGAAGATTGATGTTAAAAATAAAGTAAGATACTTGCATCGGTGTTACTCTTTTAAAATAATATTATCGGCCTTCAATAAATAATGTGTGTTGGGTTCTATCAATAAACTTATTGTTTGGGAACAAGAACATTGAAGACAACAGGGCAAAATTTAAACCAGATACCTAAATTTTTAGGAATCTGTTTAAGATTGCTAATTCTTATTACATTATAATTATAGTATTTTTAATTATTTCTTAATGTTCATAGTTTATTTTTGTAACTAAATACATTTTATTTTATTAGAGTTTATTAGTGTTTATTATTACTAAAACTTTCAATGCAAGTAAATCAGATTTAAAAAAAAACAACCTCTGAAGTATTTTTTTTTATTTATAGAGCTTATTTAATATAAAAGGAAAAAATTTCATTATTGTATCCTTTAGGCATCTAAAGAAATACTTCTTTTTGTACGAGGGGTCAGAAAACTCAAGATAAGGGTCTCACCATTTTAAAATTAAATTTTCATATAGAAGCTTTGATTTTGTGGTGTTTTCACCATCATTTTTGAATTCTCCACCCTGAAATATAGTTAGGTAAAAATTTTCATTATCATTGAACAAGTATTACATAAATCAAAGCTAATAGCGTTTCAAAAACCAATAGCGCTGAAAACAATAGTAGAAAAAAAGAATGAGACTGAATATTTCCAAAACTGTAAGGAGATAAACACTAAAAAAAATGTTTATTTATTTAAGCTTGTTTACCAAAAATCATTAAAGTTTGAGATAACATGGTGTCAAACATAATTTAAACTGAACTTTAATGACACTGTTTTAAAAAAATGTTTTGACTGAAGTTTTTTAATTAAACAAAATTATAAATGTATACGAAGAAAAACTAAATTTAAAGTCACAGACAAAATTTGCCCCTTTCATTTTAGGTAGAATTTTTGAATTTAGTTTTTAAAATAAACAACTTTTTTGACACAGTCTACAGACTATACAATTTATTCAAGCATTTTTAATTCTAAAGAGTATAAAAAAGAAGTCATTGTAGAAATATTTTATTCATATTTTCAATGTGAATTTTGCAACAATTAGAAAATTATTTAAATAAATTTTTAGTAATTAAAAAAAAAATTATAAAGAATTTCTAGATTTCTTAACGAAATTCTACAAGGATGTCTTATACTTAAACTCTTTGGAATTAAATGAGCTTGAATATATTATAATACAAAAAAAAGTCTGTAGATTGTGTCACAAAAAACGCATATATTTTAAAGACTTTAAGTTTACTCTTGAAACAGTTAACAGTTGATAAAAGCTCATTGCAGTTAAAAAAAAAATTTTAAAACAATTAAAAAAATAAAATAAAAAATTTTATAAATCAAAATGCTTAAAACTTAATTTTTAAATTTTCAAAAAGTTTTTAAAAATTACACTTTTTAATAAAAACTTTTAGACAGTATTTTTTAAAGTGTTATATAATTTTTGTTAAAAGAAAGAGTTTTTTATTTTTAGTTTTTTATACTCTAATCAAAGAGGCTGCTTTTTTTTCCTTTCTTTTTCTTATTTGTAGTTACAACCCTCTCCGAACCCTTTAACACCAAATCACCAACCATCACATCCTTGCTACTCTACCACTACAAAACTAAATCTCTTTAAACAAACCTTGTTTAGAATGGCAAGTTGACATTGTGATTTGACTGTAAAACTATGAAATGTCATGGTGTTTACACATTAAAACCTATTCTTGTTATATTCAACAGGTTATAATATTTAAACTGTTTACATTAAAAATACCTGATACTGGCAAATTAAGAAATGTTGCAATAAGTAGCCATACACTAGTCCCAGTCAGTGCACTTAGCGCTCCAGCCATTGCAAGTTGTTCTGTTCCATTAAAAGAATCTATCTTTATTATACCTTTGCGTATTGTATCTGTAAAAGATTACAAAAAATATTTTTAGTATCCACTTTGCAAATTAAAAAACTAAATAAACATATTGTAGATTTATAATTAAAATATACCTGTCACTTTTGAACCTATCAAAATTGCACCAGCTAATTCAAATATACTGGCAACAATACAGGCCTGAAGTAATGTCAAAACTTTAGATCCAACTGATGTTCCAAAAGAATTAGCAACATCATTTGCACCAATTCCAAATGCAAGTATGAAAGCAATTATAAATCCAACAATTACAATCCAGAGGTAAGCATTATCTTTTGGATCAATCATTTAATGCGCCTAAAATAAAAAAAAATATTAAAAAAAAAAACAAAAAAAAAAAAACAATTCCTTTTCATAATAAATTTTATTAAGTTAAAAATGATGTTTTGCATAGGTTTTCATGTTTCACACAAGCTTTAACTCCAAATTAAAATTTGTTTTACTTATTTTGTGTTTTTATTTTGAGGCTAATGATATAAATTAATTGATTTTTATACCAATCATCAAATTGATTTTTAATTACTCTTTTTTTTTTTAACAATTTTTTTTATTATTATAATTCTACTTTCATAAATTGACAAACTTTGTTAAAATATTTAGATCCTTATATATGCACAAGGATATTACAAATTAATGATACACCAAAATAAAAAATTAAGATATTTAAACACTAAAATCAAATTAAATATTAAAAGTATTTAAAAAGATTCCTGTTCTGTATTTCTTCTCAATAAGAATAACAATAGTCATGAATAGCCTTAATTATAGGTTTTTTTTTATTTTCTTTAACAACCTAGACATTAAACTAATAAGGGTGCTAATAATTTCAAAACTTCTCTGAGCCTTTTTGACAATTGTTTATCATTCTTATTAAAAAATAACCTTACAGATAATTGTCCTCATTTTTGGTTAAAAATAAAAAACGTTACATTTTTTACAAGGTAATGAACACAGTAAAGTACTAACATTGAAACCAAATTTTTACTAGGATCATAAAATGGAAAAGGATACAAAAAAAAAAAAACATTTATTGCATGCAGATCAAGTATCATGTAAAAATGTAGATCTGAAAATCAATCTTTTATAACTAAGTTCTAAACTTGAAAGAGTGGAAATTAGAATAAATTAATGCAACTTTAATAAACCACTTTTTTAACATTTAACTATAAATCATTTTGGATCATAAATTTTTTTATATAAATAAGGTTTTACAAATATTAGTTGGAATAACCATTAACAGTTTGTTAAACCTTTTTTTTTATTAGTGCTAATTGTATATTGTAACTTCTAGTTTGACATTAATTTTCAAATTTATTTTTTTATTGATTCTTAATCATGTAATAATTTACATAAAAGTCTAAGGTTCTTAGTAGTCCCTTTAGATTAATACTGAGTCATAATAATTATACAAGTATTTCCTAGGATTGTTATTTGTTTTTAATGAATTAAAAAAAAATAAGGTTGATTATTCTTTAACAGATAATTGATAAAATTTCCGATTTTTGTTATAAATAATTATAAAATATCAATGAATATTGATATTTTATAATTATATGAATAAATTTAAAAAAAAAACTTTTAAATGTATTTATTCTATAGCTTACCAAGCATCTGGTTTTGATAAATCTTTGTATAAAATTGATTTTAATATAAAAGAGATGATTTCTTGTGCGCTAACTTGATCAACAAGTAATCCATATTTTCATAATTACATGATAAAACTTGGAATATGATTAAACACTAGTTGAACTCTAACATTACTATTTTTATTTTAATATAAAAAAGGATAATGTTTTTAATTTT